AAAACGTCTGAAATAAGTCCATTTTCAGCATATCCTTGTCCCCCACTGAATTCGGATTGGAAAATATTATACAATGGATAAAAAAAGTTCCTCGAAGCATGGGAAGAGAATTGAAAAACCTTCAGAACGGGCAAAAACGCAGCATATACGGGAGGGAATAGACCGTTACAAAACCCACAAATAAGAAATAAACACCTGAAGTACTGTAAACACTTTATTAAGGTTTTTTTTTTTTACAATTCAACGAATCTCCGATTTCGCAACATTTACGTGACCGCCAATGAAAACAAATCAACCACGATCACGTGGTTAGAACAAGGCGCCCTTTTCCCGCCAAAACTTAGCATTGACAAACCCGACATAGGAAAAGAAACCATACACTTTAATGTGAAGATATACGCCACAACGCATTTTCACTGTAAAAAAACTGATATAAGCTTATATATAATAATGTAACCCAAAATTGCCTTTGGACAAAATAATTAAATATGAAAAATTGTACCACCTATAACAAGCGATATGAAATATAGAACAATATTTTCTAGATTCAAAACAAAATTATTTTAGAACATCTTTCTATAGATCCAAAACATTACAACTTTAGCCATCTTCTTTATTTAACAGCCGTCAAAAACTATAGCTTTCTGTTCGTGCAAGCCGATAATATTTAGTCTTTGCAATTCTTCGTAGTCGTTATGGTCGTCACACAACCTTAAGTGACACTTGTCACGCAACTGGGGCAGAGAACCGTTTGCGTTACGACCTAAACGACAACTTATGAAGAATCATCCCAATTTGAACCAAAATAGTATTTTATCTTTTAAGTTTTTCGATTTAACAACAAGACATTTTAGGTTTTAGGGATAAATTCTTCCATTAGCCTTTGGGCAAAGTAGAAAAGTATTTATAAAGTAAAAATTCATCAGTTTATTTCTAAATTCAGCCACTCGAGCCTTTGACAAGTAACACAGCTTCCTTCAGTCTGTGGGGAGAATCAGAAAAAAAATCACCGTTTAACCCTCTCAATCTTAATGTCAACAACGAAATTCTCCCAAATACTTAATGCACAATCATGGTAATTCTTTTCAGGAGAATTCCGTATACAATCATGCATTTATAGATGGCTAGATGAGAGATCGCAAATTTTATAATCTGCATAAGAAATGATTAAATAATGAATCAGTGTTCGATGCTGTAGGATTATAAAAGAAAATGAACTAGACGATATTGACATAGATGCGTTAGAATAACTATTACAGTGATTATAATACATGGGTTAGTAAGAAGATTGGACGTTAAATTATTACAAATATAGTAACATAATTATGAAGATGTACAAGATAATTAATTAAAGTAAATAGCGGGTTAAATAAAGCGAAGACGTTAAATACGTATGTTAACCACACCGAAAGGCCGAAGAAAGGTGAAGGTGTATGTTAATGTAAATGTTACAAAACAGAAATTTAAACTTAGTTTCATTTAAAGTTTATCATATGCGATTCGGAAACATATACTACACAAACTGAATGGATAACATTTCAATCAATCACTCGTTTTTAATGTGTCGAAGTTTAGATAGCCGAGGGTTTGTTTACACCTGGTTTTATATTAACGTTTTATCTTATATGATTATAGCAGATTTGAAAAACGAACGTTTCAATATTAACTAATTGGTTTAAATGGTTAAAATTAAGTTAATGTACTTTAAAATTTAATTTTAATAATTTCACATCAAGTATTAAACTCGACATTTACGTTTGAAAAACATTTTAACTTTGTTTAACAATACTGTCATTATTATCGAGTGCAGCAAAACAAAAATGGATACTAACAAAAGAATGTATCTTCTTGTAAACCAACACGAAATGTCTCATATAACTGGCCCAGCCTATAAGCCTTTGTTAAGTAACGGTGGAATGCTGACGAGATGCCAAACGAACAAGTACTTTGGCCAAAGCGTTAAAAAAAACTTGGCAAAGAAAAACACTTCTGCCGTGAATGACGAATCGAACTAAGGCAAAATCAACAAGCGTAAGATGTGACTATGAAACCCTGTAATTTTCATGGTTCGCTTTTCGGTGTGAAAGTTCCATTTATTATCTTAAAGCAGCATCGATGAACCAAGCGAAGACTTCTTTATAGACTCTACACGGAGATAGCCTGTTCCAGGCTCTCGGTCAATGGGGACGATCAAAAAATTGAGCGGGCGCCCGCCCGCTTTTTCCATCATCCCCAATGACCAAGAGCCTAGAACAGGCTAACACACAGAGAGAAAGCGTGTATTATGACGTAGCGACCTCACGAACAAGCCGGAGATATACCTACGCGACTTGCCCCTTTATCCTCGTTCCTCGTAACTTTCGCGTGCACTCGCGTGATCAGTTTTGGGAGAAAATTCCCGACGAGTAGCAATTTCATAGCACTACACAAAATGACTAGAGACAGTTTGAATTTTTCCAGCATGTTTTGTAAGTGAATAATTTTGGTAACGAGCATTTTCGTTGCATCAGGGAAGAATTGCTCTGTTGCTGAAATTAAAAATCGCACGGCAATGCGAAACGAGAACAGAGACCTTACGCAATTACCACCGCGACCCCAAGGACAACGCCTAGTAAAACATGAATTTATATTTAACCTTCGAAATTCGTAATTGTCTAGATCTGTTCAGTGCACCTATCGGTCTCAGAGCCTGCTCAAGCTAACCATGTAACACCAGCGTTCAATTCCAAATGAAAATAAGAACACATTAGCCACCGTCATTTGCATTTCCCAAAATACGCAGAACTTAATCATTTCACGATGTTGTTGTGCAGAGGACAAAGAAATATTCATAGATTCATAACGCTCGTGCACAACCATTGTTCTACTCATTAAACCTTTTGTTTGGTGGCGTTCTCGTTGCAGTTTCCGTTGTGATTTGCTTAAGTTCTCTAATACTTATATATGAACAGCCCGTCATTTCAAAACCAACAAGAGCCTGGTACCTACCAGTCTGGTGATGTCACGCCTTCTTCTTGACTTCCCAGCGGTGACACGCTCAGGCCTGAGCTGGACCCTGAACCTGGTGAGAAATGCTCTCAAGATCAACTTCTAAATTCGCATTAATACTCTGAATACCTGTTACATAATTTTTTGTGAGAGAATTTAGCATTCATCACCTTGGAATTCTTACAAGTCACTGCCGTATGAAAATAACCCAACAAAACAGAATTTATTTTGCGGAAGCCTGAGCCTGAGGTGGGAATTTTACTATCAACGAGAATCTGTTCGAAATCTTTATTCTCCTCACTGATCTTCACAAGTTCCCTTAAACGTCCGTAGTCCGTAGCTCCGGGGTCGAGCGCACTGACCATGAGGCCACCGCGCACCCCATAATTGACCATTCTCTTTTTTGCCTTCACATGTATGCTGTAATTTGTATTGTTATAAATAGTAAGACACTGCACTGCAAACGGGCCAATGATTGGTACTAAAGACTGCGAGCACGTTACCGCATCCACAAGGCAATATATAAATTTAAGAAAAAAAATTATGTCGCTGAAAGAATATTATCTTCACAAACCTGTCGAATGTCTCGGTGAATCACTCTCGGGGAGATTTAAAAGATCCTATAAAGCAAGATAAATTAACAGTTACTAGAAACGCTTCTAACGGCAATTTCCGTTCGGGCATCAAAACAAAAGAGTTACAGGGCGTTGGGCTGCCTTGACGAGATCACTGCTTTTAGGCATATAATGGCACAACATCTTGGCTTTACACCAAACACTAAGAACGTAAAGAAGTCACATCACTTAGTTCTAAAGCCTTACAATTTGACTTTCAAACAACATTGAAGACCCATGGTGTAGCAAACCTTTAAAAATCGAAGTAGAAAGCCACCACAGCACCTTATAAAGCCCCTGAGTACAGCAAAGGCCCCAGTGATAAAGATCAGCGAGCAGACCTAAAGATATCGCTTAGGACAAATTGAAGTGACTTGCTGTGTGCTCGGTGCGACTATCATAAAAGCAAAAAAATTCTATCTCCTATCAGGTGGAAGTGCTTTGGGCAAGAAGTGCAAAACAACTAAGATCAAAGCTGAGACAACAATACAAAGTCCCGGAAGACAGACTAAGTTTAATCGGTTGGCAACTGCGCCATTTTACTTGGTTGAGTGGTTAGTACAAGAGTTCGAGAGTTTGCACAGATAAACGGTTAAAAGGGCTTAGATTCGCCCAGAAGATACACAGCTACTGAAAGAACTACTTAGTGAAAACTTACGTTAGAGACAAAGAAATTACGTTCTCAACACGGAGAGAAACTGTTTTATATAAGAGTCAGGGTCCCAATAATTTTAGTAAAACTGTAGCAAGTAAACCATGAAAAAGGCAAGAAAACATTAGAATGATACCACACGAAACCGAAACTTATCCCTGTTAAAGAAACTAAGAAAGACGAGCATCCAGTGTGGTGAAAGGTCAAAGAAAAGGTTGGAATAAAAGTACAGAAAGATTTATCAGATATCGTTTTATGCAATACACCACTGAAATAGTTAGTTGCACTGTAACGCAATCCCGACGAATTGAACGTGACGAAAAGCTCGCCTAACCATCGACTGAAATCGGAAACGCTCGGATTATTTTCGGAATACGTAGGTCTTCGCGATACTTCGGAAAATTCTTCAAAACCGTGACTTGGGTTGCTGCCTCAGCTTTCTCCGTCAAAACACCAAATAAAAGAGTTACTATCTAGGGATGCCGACCCGTGAACCTCTGCCTCTACTGCCGCCATTTGTCAGTTCAGCTTCAGCCGCCGCATGCCTTTTGCTCAACTCTAGAGCTAAAGCCAACTGTCTCCGTTCATCTGCAACACTTTTGGGTCTCATGGTATTGACGTACTAGACAAGAAAACAGCGCTAATATCAGCAGCGATATTCCTCTTGTTTCTTCCCAAACCTCCTTATATTTTTCAGTGGAAGAGCTTGGCAGTGTTTCCGTAGATAATGTACCATTTAAGTGTGTGAAGTAATGATAAGCCCAGAAAAAAACCAACATAAAAACAGCAAAGACAAATAATCCTGAGAAGCTTTACAACAGGAAGCTTTCCAATTAAGATGTAGAAAAGATTAGGGACAACTTCTCTACACCGTTAAAAGCAACAAAACACAACAGTGTCCATCTTTTGGCAATAACTTTTGTTTTAATTTGAATTAAGCGTTAAAAGACTCGTCACACATCCCTAACTTGGCTTGTCAACTAGCCCCCCAACGCAGGTGCTTTTCGTGCTCGTCACACAACCTTCCTTCGTGGGCGAAGAAGATTGCGTGACGAGGCCAAAGAACGTCTGCGTAAGAGGCTTCTTGTCACCTAACATTTTCCCAAAACATACTTTGGATGGGAAATATCATGTGACAGACCAAGGAGTGACTAGGTGACAAGCCATTTGAACCGTTCATAAATGAGTCACGCAGTCACTCCGTGGTAGAAAGGTTGTACTTTTACCCTAGAACTCCCCTTCTTTTTACACTACAATCCAAACATCAATTTTTTTACCTGTGCGTAATTATCGAGGTCAGCGGAGAGACGATTTGAGCCATTCGTTACGCGCGTGTCATTTGACACATCATCAGCTGACTTCGTCGATGATGACCGAGGTCTCGCGACTGGCGGCGAAGCGTCAGAGGCACTAAAAAGAAGAAACCATTGTAAATGTTTCGTTCGATTTTAGAGCAAAACAAACAAAAAAAAGCCGAATACCTATTTACAACATTCGTAGACACTGATCGGCCATTAAGCATTCCTTGTCCCGGCCCAGCTGGTTTCAGTCCCTTTGCTGCTAAGTTCGGCCGTTGCATGAGAGTGGGATTGGCCGTGACCGCACGCTTAGACCTGGGACCCACTGAAGTTGCGCGTGGGATCACTGGGTAGAAAAAGAGATACAGCAACAAAATCAGAGGAATGCGATATTTTTGGAGGAGATTTAATTTACACTTCTCTGTTTCTACATACTGAATAAATTACAATGCTCTGATAATTTACTAGGACATAAGGTTTTGCAAAACACTTTGAAAATGAAAAGAATTGAGAACGAAAATCAGCGATAGTAAAACAGATCGACGTTTATTAATCAATGTAATCTTGTAACAATTCCTGTAAACTTCACGTTTCAAACCAAAGACTTTCAAATCCCTGCTCTCCCTGTTAGTACACTAGCATTGCTACTTTTAACTGTTTATATCTGTACCTGGTGGAGGTTCCTCCTCAACGCTCCGGTGACCCTGAAACAATGAAATACTTCATTAAAAACATGAGTCTAAAAAAGAGGCTGACTTTTGGCCAAATGACAAAGAGGCCACCCAAAACTCTCGTGATTCTAATGAGACAATCTCGGCCAGCCGCATTAGCAAGGTGTGCTAGGACAAAAACTGTAAATCTCCCAAGTATATCAGATCTCATTTGGGTAAAAAGTAAATAAAGTAAACTACTTTTTGACCAGGTAACCGGCGGTTTCCCCTCAAAACTATGTCATCCATTTTTCCATTGTGTAATTGTTAAGCCTGGGTTCTCACTAAGACATAAACACATGTATAAGCAAAACGGTAGTGAGGACGCCCACAACCCAAGCATAAAGAAAAGCAGAAGCAAGAAGAACAATTTTCTTCTTCTTGTGCTTATGGTTAAGTCAAGTGAGAAAGCACTTCTGAAAACATAAGCATTAGTATAAGTCCGCCATCTTGTTTGTCTGGATCGAGAAGGTATGGAACTCAAAATATGGTAACTATCCATTCTGCGCATGCTTATAGTTGGGTTGTGAGCGTCCTCGCTACCGTTATGCTTGTGTTTATGTCGTAGTGAATACCAGACCTTACATAGCATATACTGTTGTGACAAAATGGACCCTGCTTACCACTGGTAAGTCTTTTATGATTTGAAATCCATCCCCAGGCCCCATATGCGAGATATGGTTGAAGTTGGTTGGGCCCGAAATAAGCTTGGAGCGAATATCAGCGTCCATATCCGCCAGGCCTCCCTCTTTAACTTTGAATCCAAATCGATAAGAGCTACTGTAAGGATGTAAGAAAAAAAAAGTTAATTGGTAAGTGCAGGAGTACAATTAAGGACACGTCCAAAATCTGCCGGAGAAATTTAAAAACGCGCTTTATTCCTACGGCTAGGCCTACCGTCCATGCTAATTCGTCACGAAAACGGAGCTTTTCGAAAACGCTCTGCAAACCGTTTTAGCGTGGACAGAAAAGATTTTGAAAACAGAGCTTAAAATCGAAAACGATGACGTCACGATAATCACGTGATTTCCCTGCCCGAGTTTCCTCAAGCCCTTATCCAAAATGACCGGTGATTGTTGCGTTTTCAAATTTCTCCGGCGTAGTGTGGACGGAAAACATTTGACGTGCTTTCAGAGTGAAAACATCGTTTTCAAATTTCCCCAGCGTAGTGTGGACTGGGTCTAAGACGAGCGAAGATATCTTGATTGAGACCAAAACGTCAATTCTTCTCACCGATTTACAATGCATTAACACCAATGAACGTTTTAGGAATTTGGTGGTATGACAACACCTTATACCCTGGTTGACCAGTTTCTTTATTCTACTCCTTTTTCGGACATAATAATGCATTTCNCTTTATTCCTACGGTTAGGCCTACCGTCCATGCTAATTCGTCACGAAAACGGAGCTTTTCGAAAACGCTCTGCAAACCGGAAGAATTTAAAAACGCCGCTTTACGTTTCCGCGTGGACAGAAAACATTTTGAAAACAGAGCTTAAAATCGAAAACGATAAACTCATGATAATCATGTGATTTCTCTTCCCGAGCCTTCCTCAAGCACAAATCCAAAATGACCGGTGTTTGTTGCGTTTTCAAATTTCTCTGGCGTAGTGTGGACGGAAAACATTTGATGTGCTTTCAGAGTGAAAACATCGTTTTCAAATTTCCCCAGCGTAGTGTGGACCGGGCCTAAGACGAGCGAAGATATCTTGATTGAGACCAAAACGTCAATTCTTCTCACCGATTTACAATGCATTATCACCAATGAACGTTTTAGGAATTTGGTGGTATGACAACACCTTATACCCTGGTTGACCAGTTTCTTTATTCTACTCCTTTTTCGGACATAATAATGCATTTCAATTTTAAGAAGCTAAACAAACCTTCGCTTGCTGCTCTTTAGTCTCAACATGGCCGCGAGAGCCTTCTTTCCTTTATTGGGATCAGGAATTATCAGTTCCTCTTCTGCAAGGAGACACCAAACAGACAACCATGTCAACATTTATTTCAGAGTCAGAGAAATGGATGAAGTGCTTAGTTAGAATATCGTAACTGATAGTTCATTAGGTTTGCCGTTTCTAGCAGCGACGGAGTCATTTTCAATGTTTGTTGTTTTTTTACTTTCAAGTACCAAACGAGAATACTCACCCTCGTATAATTTATTCTTGAGGTAAATTAGATTGAATTGCTCCGAGGCAGTGCACAGCGCCAGCGATCCATCATTGATTAAAGCATGGCACTGAAGAGAATAATCGACATAATGAAATTAGAAAATAATCAGTTTAGCTGAAATTAAATGTTAAAGGAGCTCAGTCGCGGTACTTTCAGTTATTTTGGCCACGAACAAAATTACCTTTAAATTGAAGAAAACCTGAAAATAATAGTTTACTGAGATCGAAAAACACCAAAGAGATAATAATAAGCCATAAAGGAACAAGGATGCTTGAGGATGGAGAAGATAGACACGGATTACAAACGACGAACTTAAAAAGTTTAGGCTAGACTTGTCAAGATGCGCAAACTTTACGAAACTCCTTTCAACAGTGAGAGGTACAAAACATTGTGGGAATAGACAGAGAACCTGTAACTTTACATTTTACTACGGAAAGGGGTCGGCTTTACTGAACAGTTGTGAACAACTAGAAAAGACTCACTGGCTGCTTTGCCAGTCTAGGGAAATTTTAACTACATATACGGATCCTTTGTTTTTCTTTGCAATGAGAACAAATCTGTTTACAAGGTTCGCAAAGAAACCTGGAATTGACCAGAATGCGAGTGTAAAAGTACTAAAAAACAAGCCTGCTCCATTATTCAAATCCTACCTTCTTTAGGGGAATGGTCTGAAGCCATTCTGCTGTGCTCGAGTCAAACACATCGATAGCTCTGTCGCTGAACGAGATCACATACGGGTGAGAATACCCTGCAAACATAAAACAGCAAACAAAAATAACTTTACATCAAGAGCTCTATCACTCTGCTTTTGAAATCACTAGCCGATTATTAAAGCAGCACAAGAAAAGACAGAATTTTTGAGCTTTCAAGGGTAAATTAATCCCTACGAAAGACAAAATAGGCATTTTGTGTGGCAGCCAGTACACGACGTACGCCATTTCCAAAACCTCCCCGCTACTGAGCGCTGTAAGAGTGCAAAACAAAATTTGATTGGCTAGCCAGTAGCCTGCAGAGCAGGCGAGATTTTTTCGAGCGAGCGCTCACATCGTAAAAAGTGTAGCCGCCATCTTGAATTTTTCATGCAGTGGAAGACTGG